ACCCTCTGACTTCACCACCTCAACCAAGTTTCACAATCATCATTGCTGTGTACAGTATTAAATTGTTTGTTTAAAACTTATACTGTGTGTGTGTGTGTGTATATAAATATATAATATAGTCTTTTGTCTGGTGAAATTTTTTTCCCTGGAACCTAACCCCCCCCATTTACATTAATTCTTATGGGGAAATTGGATTCGCTTAACATCGTTTCGCTTAAAGTCACATTTTTCAGGAATATAACTACAACATTAAGCGAGGAGTTACTGTAACTGTATCTACATTAGGGGGTCCTTGCCAGCACACACATGTCAGTTGGGGGTCACACATCATCACACCCTTCACCCCCATAGACAAAACTGTTTTTTCACTCTTTAGTAACTTAAACACCTGAAGCTGTTCTCTAATTTTGCAAAAGCATTCCCCTATGAGCTGAGACCACACAAACAATTTCAGCCCCAAAAGAGAGGTTCTAAAGCATGCAAAAACAAGGGTTATAACGAAAATCTCAGTATAGCTTTAGCTATAATGATTGCTTCCAGGAAACTGTTCTAATATGTATTAGTAAGGGTTATTTTTCAGCAGTAGAATAGAAATCACTTTGAATTATCCCTTTAAAAAATTAATGTGAGGTAATTCATAATCACAGTAGGACTGTCTAGGGTCTGTGTCCTGCTGGGATAATGCTACCTCCTGGGTCATTGAAAGAGGTTGGTTGTGCTTTGTACTTCACAATTCACTGGAGGCAGAGCATTCTCAGTATGCCTTTCCTCCCCCTGCAGAGTCCTATTGCTCTGAATTTATATTCCGCCTGTTATAGTTCAGCCTATCAGCTATCATTAATTTTCATCCCTCTGTTTAAACTGAATAATCTTACAAATTTCATTGTATTATCAAGCATGCTGTAGTCTTAAGTGACAAATTCTCAAAGAATAGTTTGGGTTTTTTTAAACTGAGAGGCCCAGTGAGCCAAAGTCTGCAGTTACATCAATGCAACCCCAGTGAATTTTCACTCCTCTATGCAGTTGACTTCACTGGGTACATGGGTACAACAGAAGGCAGAATTTGGCTCCTTAGTATAATTCTTCCAGCAGATAAACAGAGAAATCTAATATATGAATGAAGGGTAAATAAAAGAAACTAGTTGAGATTTAATACAAAAGCATGCCTGCTCTCAGCCATTATATTATCCTACTGCATTTCCATTAACCTTTTTCATGAGCCAGTATCAGTACAGCAATAATATTGCTGCTGAGGGACCTTGTTTAATTTTAAGAATATAAAACTATGAGCAAGATTTTTTTATTAGCAAACAACATTTGGGTGGAGGGCAAGATGGGGTGTGTATGTGTGATGTGGGAGCTCTCACAATCTAATTTCTTAATTTTGTGAAAATATTTTTAGCAATAAAATTATGGCATTATAGTGACTAAAACTAAGGGGGTTAAAATGTTTATATTTTAAGACCAAAAGTAATTTCTTACTGTTCTTAAAATGTATGTTTTCCATCTCATGACTAGATGTTACAGTGACTGGTGTCTTAGCATGAATGCTGTAGCTATTAATATTGATATTATAGTAGCATCTAGAGCAGGGATCTCAAACACAAATGACCACAAGGGCCACATGAGGACTAGTGCATTGGCCCAAGGGCTGCATCACTGACACCCCATCCCTCGCTGCCCCCGCCCCCACTCCACCCCTTCCATGAGGCCCTGCCCCTACACCATCTCTTCTCCACCTCCTTCCCTGAGCGCGCGGCTCCCTGCTCCTCCCCCTCCCTCCTGGAAAGTGCTAAGCTCCACCAACAGTAATGCACCTCACTCAAAGGACAAAACACGCACTTAGTTAGATTTACTTCTGTTAAAGCCCCCCCACTGCACTGGGCTGCACCACCACTCCACCCCTGCTCTGCCTCTTCCAGGGGTGGCAGGTTTGTAGAAATGTTGGTGGTGCCCAGAACCTGCCTTCCCTCAAACTCCACCCCTACCTGCCTAAGGCTCTGGGAAGGAGTTTGGGTGGGGGAGGGGGTCTGGGGTGCAGGCTCTGGGATGGAGTTTGGGTGCTGGGTGCAGGCTCCGGGCTGGGGCAGGGGGATAGGGGGTGCAGGCTCTGGGATGGAGTTTGGGGATAGGAGGGGGTGAAGGGGTGAGGGCTGTGAGACTGGGGATGAAGGGTTTGGGGCATTGGAGAGGCTCAGAACTAGGGCAGAAGGGAAGGGGAAGGGCAGCCTGCCCTGGCCATAGTGGAGGGGGGCACTAGGAGCCTGCGGCAGCAGGTGATGCCAGAAGCCGGCAGAGTGGAGTGGAGTCAGCATGACTTGCAGGCTCCGGGGCAGTGAAGGGCAGCAAGTGAGCCAGGGGGACACTCGGGGGAGACGCGTGGGGTGGCAGGCAGGGCCGGGCAAGAGACCCGGCCCCAAACATTGGGGAGCAGCAAGCAGGGAGCTTAGCTGCCACATAAAATACCTTGCGGGGGCGCAGGGAAGAGCTCCGTGAGCTGCATGCGGCCCACGAGCTGCGTGTTTGAGACCCCTGATCTAGAGGCCCCATGCAAAATCAGTTCCCCATTCTGCTAGGCTCTGTACAAACATATAGCAAGTGACTATTGCAGTGTCACAGAACTCACAGTCCAAGGTCTTCATCCTGCAAACACATTTGCACGTGCTTAACTTTATACATATGAGAAGGTCCATTGACTTAAACATCCACCTTGAAGTATTCAGAAGGTACAGATTTAAAAGTGATCTGTTAGGCTCAGATGCTTAAATGCATTACTGCAAGAAATGCAAAATATTGCTAAAATATAACATAATATTTTTGTACCTAATCTCTAGGAGGCAGCATAGCGCTACAGTGAGTTTTACAATGGTTCACGCAGTAGTTATGTTAACATGTGATGTCGTAGAAAAGAAATACTAAGACTGTTTCTGTATTCCTCCCCCTAGGATTCTCAAAACACCCTAAATTACATGTGGTATATGGAGGTTGGTTGCACCTAAGTTCTCGTTTTAATGCTTGGAACAATTACATGATTTCTGAACATTGACAAAGAAATAGAATCCAGCACTAAACTTGTTCATAGATGCTGCATAATTTTTTCATGCTTATTGAATAAGTGATCGGCAACGATGCATTAGCTTGACTGCTCAAACACATGCTTTCTAAATAAATACATTTGCTATTTTGGCTTAACTTTTTGTTTTGTTGCTTTTATTGCACCTTGCAGTATTTTTGCTGTGACTTGTCCTGTACTGTGTGTAACATGCCTTTCTACTGTAATTAGCATTAGCTAGTGCAAATAATACTTCACAATAACTTAACTGAATTTTAAAATATCAAACAAATGTACCTGTGACATCTGTATATGCAGGTGAAAGAACTTCGAGAGAAAGCAGAGGCATACAGGCAACAAGTACAGGGAACCCACTTCTCTCGGTATCATCTGAATCAGATTCTTTCAGATAACAACAGACTTTGGGACGTGTCCTCAAATTCCAGTTCCGAAGAAACCATTAGCAACACCATCAGAGCTCTAGATCTAGCTGGGTAAGGTGCTTATTCTGGATGTGAAGGGAATGTAAAATTGTAGCTTTAAAAACTAAAATTTTTAAAAATTCAATTGAGATTTAACACAACTTTAAGATCCCTAATGTTTACTAGACTTTGCATAAATGTTTTTAAAGCAGATGGAAAGTCAAATACTTTTCTACTAAAATTTTATTGTAATGTGTTGAGAACCCAAATAAGGTTCCTTACTGAAGGAACAAGATAGGATACGCTCCCCCGCAGCCTGTTTCTCACTTGGCAAGCAGTCCTCACACACGCCTGTGTAAGTTCACCAGTGTTGTATTTGTCATCAGGGTGCTGGAACAATTTGTATAGTGGGAACGCTGAGAGCCATTGAACCAAACAGTAAACCCTGTATATAATGGAAACCACTTCAAGCCAGGGTGTGCGGCAGCATCCCTACTTCCAGCATCTATGTTTGTCATGTACAGTTGTGTCTCTGCAGCTTAAGACTTGCCCCAAGCTTCACCCTTCTCTCTAGGTACAAGCTGGGGGTGGAGGGAGAGATCTCTCTCTGAGATCGTGGGCTACTTTGCCCTTCCTTTTCCCTCTCTTTTCCTGACTCCCTTTTAACCATCCCAATCTGATGAACTGAATTCTCTTGTTAACTGATTAATCACCCAGTCCTTAATTAATTATCTCCTAATTTAGCACATGCAGGGAAGTTTACAGAGTGGTGAGTTAGCCTTAGGCTACTCCCACTCCATCACAACCCTACATTATGTAATTTTTGTCATGCCTACATACATTTGTATTGGTGTTTTTGTAGAAACAAATCAATAGGCTTGTGATTAGCAGATCTAGTCCCACTGCACTTCTGTTTCTAAAATCAAGAAAAAGCAATTATGTATTCACGTTTTTTTCTTCTGCCCTTTGGAGGCCATAAAGCTGGATGGAGCAGATACTAAATCTGTCATTTTTGCTAATAAGTTTTAAAGCTTTTTATTAATAATGTTGTATAGCTAATTATTCCTAAACCAAAAAAGCAGTTTGGTCACTTCACCTTAAATCTGATTGTTCAAAACATTGTATGGGATACGATATATAAAACCCTTTTTCTCCCAGGCAGTGTCTTGGAGGCATGGGGTTAGGGGGGAGGGAGAATAATTGATCTATTTGTGTAATTGTAACTATAATAAAAGCAAGATGAAACTTAAGAGTGTTTATTACACCATAATGTCTGATGTCAAATACCAGGCCAGATTTTCAAAACTGGCTGGTTTGTTTTTGTGCAAAATGGATTCTTGTACACTAGTCTCATTTGCATGCACAAATGCCTGACTTCTTTGAACAATTTAAAGACCAAGATTTTCAAAAGATGGAGCTGTAAGATAGGCTCTAAAGTTTGTTTAACACCAGCCTAATTTTCAGAAGTGTTCAGCATCAAACAATTCCCATTGACTGAAAGTCTGCTAGGTGCGCAGCACGTCTGAAAATCAAGTAGGTGCTAAACTTAGAAGTCTACTGTAAGCTCCTTTTTTGAAAATGACTGATTAATCTGTATTCATTTTAATAACTAAACTCTTAATTTCTGACAGGTTCTTGAATTGGATGTATGCAGTTTATGGAAACACATACATATATAGTAAATTAGAAAAAAACAAGTGAATATTTGGTGAATGAAACATTGTTTGCTTTGTTTTATAGAGCTCCTGAGAAACAGATATCTGCAAGCCAAAACATACTGCAGCAACCTGACTCAATAGAACAGTCCCAACAGAACAATACAGAGAAGTTAGGCATGTCAGATGCCTCCACTGTACCAGTCAGAAGACGTCTAGCTTGGGGTGAACAAGACAGTACTGAACAAGTGGAAAATCAGCCACCAGGATTAGAGGAAGATGAAGAAAAAGAAAATAAACAGGAGTCAGCAAAGGCTCAGAAATTGGAAGAAAATGATAAGAATCCTTTTGTGGACAACAGAATAAAAGGGTACATTTTAAAATTTCATTGTCTTCTTACTTTTCCATGCTTTATGGGGTGATTTAAAAATAAACTAAACTTTACAAGCTAATGCACTTAACAGGTAGTTAGCTAGGGCACTAGTTTGGCAAGAGTCTGTATGCTAATAATTAGCAACAAGTGTCTTAAATTTCAGAAGAAGAGAGGATTTGTTTCTTACACCAATTCCCTTCAGAGGTGAAGGGCAAAATAGAGGAAGAAATAGACCCTGAGCTGCTTCGCAGATTTGGCTCAGCGAATGATTTCTGTCAAAGAAAATTAGATTTTAGTAATGCAAAACTTTTTTTTAAAAAGTGCAATTTGTAGAAATTAAACACAAAATACTATTTAGATTAATATGAGTAAATCTAATGCATAACATTTAAAATGTTAAAAGTTGTATAGAAGGCCACTCAGACTAGGCAAGTGATAGCACAACATATAGCCATGTGGAAAATTAAAATTAGGCTTCTGCTTCAGACTCAATTTTGAAGGATTGGTAGGACTGAAAGGATAGTCTGATCTGTCACTGTTGAACGGACTGCATAATATAGTGCTTAAGAGTATGTCTACACTGCAGATAGAAGAGTGCCTCCCAGTGTGGGAAGACAGACATGCACTAGCTCCGCCTGAGCTAGCGCACTCAAAATAGTAGGGTGGCATGGCAGCACTGGGGGCAGCATGGGCTGGCAGCCAGAGTATGTACCCAGAGGATCAGGCAGGACTATACTCAGGTGGCTAACCCAATCCACTGCCCATGCCGCTGCATCCACACTGCTGTTTTTAGCTTGCTAGCTTGAGCAGAGTTAGTGTGTCTATCTATGTGCACTGGGAAGCACCCTCCTAGCTGCTGTGTAGACCTACCCTTTGACTTTTTCAGCAAATTTGAACAGTGTTGATGGGTTTTGCAGGAAGCTGTGTCCAGATCTCCCTGGGTGTGGCTTCCTGATACCGGAGAGAGGGAGGGAATGTATTGGTAACCTTGGAGTTCTGACAATGCCTGGGTGTAGGAAAAAAAGTAGGAAGATATTTCTAAATATCGAGGACTTATTTCTGAGTACAGTTGGCTTGCCCATGTTTCCTCTAATTACAATTGAGTTCTAGGTCTTTTACCATGCATGTTTTACAAACTCTGTTGGTAACACATGATGTTCAGTCATATTTTCTATCTTAGAAAATACTTTTATGACCCTCCATCAATGTAGTATCTGAGCATCTGTGTCTTTAACGTACTTATCCTCACAACACCTATGTGAGGTAAAGAGGTGTTGTTATCTCATTCTACAGACTGGGGAAAGAGAGACTAAGTGACATGCCCAAGGTCACACAGGAAGTCTGTGGTAGAACAGGGACCGAGGCCAGAGCCCTAACCACTAGACAATCCTTCCTCATTTTTTCAGAGAAAATGCCTCACTACTGAAACCTTCAGCAGATAGGTCAGATTCTTCTTCAGTATCATCAGGAAAACGTGGCAGGCTTTCTACTCCAAAGTTGAAAACACTTGGTGGAGCCCAAAGAACTCATCATGATCTTACCACGCCAGCTGTCGGTAAAAATATTTAAAATGAAAAGCAACATTTTGAGGGAATTAATTTATTAAAAGTTTTTAATGTAACAAAATATTTTATCTTCTGTTACTCTAGGAGGTGCAGTTTTAGTGTCGCCATCTAAAATGAAGTCTTCATCCCCACAGCAGAGAAAGAAAAAGTCTTTAGAAACACACTATTCTTCATCCAAACAAGCCTCAGGAGAAAGAAAATCCAGAGGGGTGAGACAAAGCAAGCAATTGTCAATATGCAGTGTAGAAAAATATAGATAGGATATTCTTTTTATGTCAGTTTGAATAATTGTTTTAAGCGTGTTTGAGGATTGGGATGTTCCAGTCTAAAATTTTCAATGTCATCTGTGATGGAGAGGCTGATAGCCATAGACACCTACTTCCCCTCTTCCCCTTGGGTCCTTGACCCCCCCCATCCCACCCCACCCCCATTCTAACCTCTTCCCCAAAGTTCCTGCCCCATTCCAACTCCTTCCCCAAATCCCCACCCTAGCCCTGCCTCTTCCCCGCCTCCCCCCCGAGCACACTACGTCTCTGCTCCTCTCTCTCCCTCCCGGAGCATCCTAACGCTGCCAAACAGCTGTTTAGTGGCGGCTGGGTGGGAAGCGCTGGAAGGTAGGAGGAGTGGGGATGCAGTGCACTCGGGGAAGGAAGAGGAGGTGGGACGGGGAGGCTGCCAGTGCACCCACTAATTTTTCCCCTTGGGTGCTCCAGCCCCGGAGCACCCATGGAGTCGGAGCCTATGCTGATAGTTATATATTTTTGTTAAGCAATGGAAACTGAAGGACTATGGGAGGGAATGCTGCATTATCTCCCATATATATTTCTGCTCTGAAGTGTGCGGAGTCCAGAGAAAAGCATGCTGCCAAGAGCAGCTGAATTCCCTGCTACCCATATCCCAGCTCATTCCTGAAGTCATGCAGAGCTCCAAACTCCATGGGTTGGGTAGGGAAGTATACCACATTGGGGTCATTCTCCCTTTCCATTGTTTTTGGAATTTTCTGCTTCATTTTACTTCAGATTTGATTTCTCTGTACATCCTAGCATAGGGGTCAAAAAGATATTAAGACGGTATTTAGTTTCACGGGTCTTCATGGCTTATGGATTCTAAGGCCAGAAAGGACCACTGTGATCATCTGGTCTGGCCTCTTGCGTAATAGGCCACAGAATTTTCCTGAATTAATTCCCATTTGAACTAGAGCATATCTTTTAGAGAAACATCCAATCTTGATTTAAAAACTGCCAGTGATGGAGAATCCACTACAACACTTGGCAAGTTTTTCCAAAGGCTAATTATCCTCACTGTTAAAAATGTACATTTTATTTCCAGTCTGAGTTTATCTAGCTTCAATTTCTGACAATTGGATTTTTATACTTCTGTGTTCTAGAGCCCATTATATTTTTGTTCCCCATGTAAGTACTTATAAATTCTGATAAATTCACCCTTAGCTTTCTCCTTAAGCTAAATAGATTGAGCTCCTTGTGTTCCAAAAATCTTCATAGTCCTTAGTTGCATTATTTCACAAGCAGGTGTGTGGTCTCAATTTCTAAATACGTATAGGATTTCACTGCAGATTTCTCCCAGTGTGGTAAAATACATAGTAGAAGCAGGAACACTAATTGATTTTTTTTTTTTTAATTTCAGAGTTCAACTTTTACCCTGGGTAATAAGCCTCAGGTCTGAAATGACAAGTCAGCTGTAACTATCCTATGTCTTCTGCTTTCCTGTTTGGCTACCCACTAAAATTTATTCATAATCATAATTCCTTCTATCTTTATATCCTTCACTGTTTCCCCTCATGGAAATAAAATATTGGTTGTTTCCTTTATTCAAGATTTTCCTCAGTATCTCATGGTTGGTATTTTAACAGTGCCACAAATATTATTGCATCCTGTCTCCCTAGGATCCTGTCACTATAGCAATGTTCCTCGCTTCCCAAGTATTCTAAACATCTTTTAGTAGAGTTTTTAATCCTTTAGGGGTTTTGTGACTAAGTTAATGTTGTTTTATTGTTATAAAAGAGTCAGCCCACTTTTCAAAGTCCTACATAGGTCTTCAGTGTTAATAATACTGAGCAATTCATAAACATTAACCTTCACAAAGCTCCTCTGAGGTAACTCAGTATTAATCCCCATATTAATCTCATAGTCCCATTTTGCAGATGTGGAATCAAAACACAGAGGTTGTGACCACAAAGTTGTTGTTAGATGTAGGATTAGAAATTCAGGAATCCAACTACCAGGCTTTTGCTCAGTCCATTAGTTTATACTGTCTCCATGTTTTCTCTGCTCCTAGAGATGGTCATGGAAGCTTGGAAGTGATTTATTTTCCAAAGGAAAGAATCTGACCTGGTATTCTATGTGAATGCACACATGGCCTAAGAGAGCAGGGCCAGATTATATTGAGAAAGCAGTCTAATGCTTTTACACATGTGTAAAGCCTTTTTTTGGTCATGTTTAGATTATCCCCCATAGTGCGAGCTTTGCTTAACACTGTCCCAATGCCTTAAGTCACTTGCCTGGCCTGGAAGCTCCAGCAAGACACAGCCAACACGTACCAGCTGCATATGCCTATGTACTTGATGTTTGATATAACTCAAACAAATTTGCAATTTTGTGTATAAACTAATAGTAGCCTTTTCTATGGTATTTCAGTTTGAAGGGGAAGCAGAAGCTGTATCACTACTTGCCTCCCCAGCTGCTGGATTGAAAACTTTAGATCCTTTGCCTCTGAGGAAGGATTCGTGGCCCACTATCAATGTTTCTGATGAAAGCGCTTCTCCCACTTCAGCACATCCAACTACAGCTCCTGTGCAGAAATCAGTCAAAAGTGCTACTACCCCCTACTGGAGTCCATGCTGTCGCATTCAAGGGACTCTCAGGGATCCAGAGTTCCAGCATAATGGTTGTTTTTTTTTAAATAGGATTTTTCCATCCACTGAGTTTGTGTGGTAATTGCTATCTTGCAAATATGCAGGGCCCAAAATTTTATGACTTCAACAAAGAATGACTGCCTATTGCAGAGAAACTCTTTTCTACCAGCATGTTTCATCTTGCTAGAACAACTATACTATTCTTCATCTAAATGAGATACTTTGAGTTATACTGCTGTGGGGAGATCTGGCCTTTGTTCTATGCTTAGGTTCCAGTATCTGTCTGTCTAATAGAGCTTTCTTGATTTTAGTAAGGAATTACTAGATACCTCAAATAATTGGTTCTGTGTGAACAGTTTTGTTCTCTTCTGTAGGCAGCAGCGGGAAAACCTAGTACATTTCCCTGTAGGGTTACTCACACAGATGAGTAATTGGATACCTCCACAACAACATCATACCACTCTACAGTGCACCCTGTGTAGGGAGAAGAGCAAGGACAGTAGGCTAGGTGTGGTACAACACTTATTTCCCCCTTTCACTATATCTTTCCAGAGGAATCAGCTGAAAAGCTGAGGCTGTGATGTTTACATGCCCTTTTATGTGCTGTGGAGCACCCACCTTTGTAGGGCTGGGATGTTCAGGAGAGAGTTGCTGGCAGACGAAAATCTGTCATCATAGTCCTATCTGTGAGGATGGCCCTGGCCTCTACAGGATCACCAGACATCTATGTGGATTTTGAGAGAACTGTAGGTTTTTGAGGACCCTTGTGTGTGGAGTGGGAGAGAAGGGGACAATCCAGCCTTCTCTCTCTTTAAAAGGTCTGTTGGAATCTCAGCACCATTTCCTGGTCCCTGCGGCTGTGTCTACACTGCACAGTAAGTCCCTGCTCTAACTCATGTTTGAGCCCAAGCCACCCTTCCATCCTCACACAAATGTGTTTGAGTTAGGTCAGCAAGTACTCAGGACCCAGGTCCTAAGGCCCTGCTAGTAGGGTGGGTCAGAGCCCCAGTGCCTGCTGTGACTTGGGTCCAATTCTTGTCATGTTGCAGTGTGGATGCAGTTGAAGCCAAAGACCAGAGTCAGAAGGTCTGCATACTGCAGTATGGATGTGTTAGGACAGCTGAGAGACCTGGGTCCAGGCTTACAATACAGTGTGGTCACTCAAGCACAGGATTGTAAACACCGAGTCCATAAGCCTGGGTCCCACAGACCCAGGTTTACAATGCAGTGTACACATACTCTGTGAACTCTTCATTAGAGGAGCAATTTGGGCCAGAGTGGCTCAGAGTAGTTTTAAACGACAATAATAACCATACTGTGGTGGCATCTATGTGATAAATAACAAAACCCCTCAATCGCTTAGCTGTCAAAGGCCTGGTCCACACTAACCCCCCACTTCGTACTAAGGTACGCAAATTCAGCTACGTTAATAACGTAGCTGAATTCGAAGTACCTTAGTCCAAACTTACCGCGGGTCCAGATGCGGCAGGCAGGCTCCCCTGTTGATGCCGCGTACTCCTCTTGCTGAGCTGGAGTACCAGCGTCGACGGCAAGCACTTCCGGGATCGATCCGGGATCAATTTATCGCATCTAGACAAGACGCGATAAATCGATCCCAGAAGATCGATCGCTTACATCCGGACCAGGAAGTAAGTATAGACGTACCCAAAGTGAAATTTATATGCATAAGTCCCAGTTCCACAAAACTTTAACCACATGTTTAAGGTCCTGCTCTTGAAAGCACACAAGTCCTTGCATCTTCAGAGATGGATAAAGTAAGGTAATAGTTCCACTTTACAATGGAGCAAGTGGCAAACAGGTTCAGTGAGTTGCCTAAATCCAGAGAAAAGTCACTGTTAAAGCCGGGATTAGAACTAGGGTCAGATCCTACCTCCAAGTCCTGAGTGGAAACCATTAGATCTTACTTCACTGTGTAACTACAGTAACAGCCTCCAAAGATGCTGCCTTGAAAAGAATACAGTGCAATACACTTATTCCATCCTCATCTCAGCACCATTTTCAGGCTACTGTTATAATAAACTTATTACAGTGGGAGTTGTTATAATGGGGATAAGTAAGGGAGTCTCAGTTCTGTAATTAGTAAGTATGCAGTATCCTAATTGCTAGTTACATTTTTAGAAGTAATGTTCTAAATAGTTTTTGACATGAAGTGTCAACCCATATAGACTTCTGATGCAAAAACCACCTCTTTTTAATGGTATAAAAATAACACCTGTGGCCTTTTCTTATAGGGAACATTGCGAGTCCAAAGATAAGCCATTTCCAGTTACCGCTGCAAGAAAGAAACTATAATGATGAAGGTATTTTTCATTCTGAAGTATTAAACAGTATGTATCATATGGATGAATTCTGACTTTGTCTGCACCCCAATGGGAGATGGATGTATATAGGACATAATGCAGCCATCCCATACGTAGGCCAGTAAAACCTTTATGCATACCCAGACCATCATATCATCAAAAGAAATCCAAATATTTTTCTCTGCCCAGTAATCTGAAAAGCTAAGTACAAACCCTATAAATAAACCGTGAAATGTCATTAAAAATGAAACAGATCATAGCTGTGGTTCAGTATGGCTAATATAAGTATTTGTTCCAAACTCAGATTTAACTACCCTCTCCACCCCCCACATTTTCACAAGCCTTTCTGCTTTAAGCCTCGACTACAAGCAAAGTGCAAAAGTACTATGCCTGAGGGTGCTCTGGTATTTTTAATCCAACTAGATAGAATATAGAAGTATTTGTAATCTTATTGAATATCCTGTTCTCATGAGAATTTGAATACAGGCTCTATGTATTCTCCAAGGGAGCTTTCAAAATGGAGTGTCTGTGCCAGGAGACTGCCTCTCTGACCTGATGCACTGCTGTACATCCATAGTATCATTACAGATTTTTGTCACTGCTCTAACAAGATGGTCACTATCAGTAACAGTCTTGTCAATTTTCCAGACAAGGAGAATAAATAGTACCTGTGACTTTTCAGAAATCAAACAGAACTTGACATTATACCCTACAATGTGCTGTGTTTTCTGTGAGTTTAAATCAGATTGTTTAACATTTAGTACCATCTCTGAAACTTGCCTTAAATCTTTGAAAGCCTTTGGTCCAAACATTCTTAAATAGATTCCTAAGTTGCACATACAAAAAAATCCCCTTTATGAGCAAACTGCTAATTGTAGCTGTTTATATAAGTATGTGGTTGGGCTTTCAATCCATTAGTATGCGTAACAGATTTATACACTCAAAATACCTGTATTTGGGCACAGTCGAGTCTATTTATGACAGCTCATGCTTCATCACTCGTTTTTAGTAACAAAGATGCAGTCTGGTACAGCACTGTTATCTAAAATGTGTGGTGAGGTTGTGGGATTCTGCAGAGTACCGTTGAATTTCACATGCTTTATGTAGACATATAGATGCTTTGCTGAGCAATAATCGCGGCCCACACATTTTCCAGCCAGCTGCGGTGACTAAAATAAAAAGAATTGCCCTGATCCTCAGCTACAACCAAGGAGCACACAAAGCATCTCAAGGCCAGGGTGGGGGGGGGTACAAAGGAGCTTTAAGCTCCGCTTGTGCTCCCAGTTCTAGGCTAGCTGTGCAGCAGCTGGTCCCCTGGAGTAACTGAGAGCAGCTTGAGGACAGCTCTGATTTACACTAGCTGCCAATACAGCACCCAGGGATTACTAGAACACACGAACCAAAACCACACCAAATATGCTGGGGAAGGGGAAAAAGCAAAGGAGTTACTATGCCAATTCTGTACTACTGGAGGATCATTTTATGCTGTAAAGATTGGGTACAATGGCACCAGTTTTCAAAGGAGACCTCACTGCCCGACTCCCACTGCATTTCATTGAGTATTGGCCACCTAATTTAAAAATCCCAGTCAGCATCCTTGTAGCTTTCTAATTAGTTTCCCCTGCAACAACAAAGCTAACAATAATTTAGAAGTTTGTTTGTATTTGGTTTTGTAGCATCCATTGTCATAAGTGGTATACAATCTTTTGCATTTGAGAAGTCAGCCACAGCTGTCTTAATTGTTTAAAATTTATGTCTGATCTGTGGATTTAGTTATAGATTTGTTTTTCTTGTTGCATGCACTCACAGATGACAGATTGTCCCAGATCTCTGCTCGCTCTGCAGCCTCTAGCTCACTAGCATCTCAGATTCTGGAACGAGCTCAGAAGAGGAAAGAGAATTTTTGGGGCAAGTCGTAGTGTGTTCCACCAGGGAGTCACTGTTTTGTACAATGATGTATTTTTATTGAACAGTTGTGTACTTTTGATTTTTGGGAAATTTTGTATTTTTGGCCTTTCATATACTGGTAAGATGGCCTGACCCTGTGCGATGTCAAGCATTTGACACGTCTGTTGAAAGAGATGGGAGCTATGGGTAGACAGTATCTACTATTTTACAATAGCCTTCTTTTAATCTTTCAGTTATGGCATCTCTTGAAATTGACCGTAATTATTTGTATACAACGTGTATATAATTTCTAAAGATGTTTTACTACAAGAATATAGTACACCAAGAACAGTATTCTGGGACGATACCATCATTCACCTAATACTGTACCTCAGACATTTGATTTCAAGCATGGCTGAGTTAGGAGACTCATAACATAGTAACTATGTTAGGTGTTTGTTCATAATCCTGTATGAATTCTGAATATGTACAGAACTGTGTTGTCTCGAAGTCATTTAGCAGTATCTGACCTTACTACCCAAAACCCCACATTTAATATTTCAACAAATGTGATGTGATATATGCAACAAGTGTTGAGGTTTTGGTTAGGACTCCAGGATTGTTCTAGTTAAAAATAAACAATTAAAAAAAACCCACACACTTGTTTCTTGCCTAGAAGACTTTGACAGCTTACTGTATGGGATCACTGTTAGCCGTGTCTGGAGTATCCATATGGATGGTTGTACTGTTCTCAAGACCAGCTTCTAATGTTGGTTTTAGATAGAAGGGGGTAACCTTCATTTCAAACACAGGTATTTAATTACCCTCTCGTATTCCTCAATTACCTCTTCATACTCCTCTTCTAATTGTCTGTTTCTGGGTGAGTGAACTACTGTAATGATGGTCACAGCTAAAATTGATTGTGATTTGTGCTGATGGCCTATTTTTTTCTTTTTAATTGACAAAAGCAAGTTACATGAAGGTGAAAATAATTGCTTAGCCATTTAAAAAAATGAAGTTAATGTTTGCTGTTTTTAAATATATTTGTACAATGAAGAATTTGAATTTTGTATACATTTAAAAATAATAAAAAGAAAAATCAAGTTTGCCTTGTTTCCATTCCGCTTATTATGCCCAACATGGGCAGTAGCTTGCCTTCCAGAAGGCCATTAAGAGTCAGTCTTAGTGGACCTGTCTCTTCCAACAGACAGAGGCAGCTGTTCAGACAATCTCTGTGGCCTTCTGGAAGACAAGCTGCTGCCCTGGAAGAATCCAGAACTGCTCTTTATAAAAACTCAGTTACTCATGCACTATAGACAAGTTGACATTTGGAATCCTGATTAACTTGATCCAGAACCAAAGACCATAGTCCAAGTTGAAAGACAGAGGCTCTCTCTGAACTGGGCCCTTACAAACCAGCTTGTTGCTCTATGTTGGTATAAGGAATGAGCTCCTACCACTATAAACAAGATGTAAGAAACTTTTATACAACTGTTAACCCCAGAAGGGAAGGTTGTCTTAAAAAAAAAAAGTTTCCTCAGCTGAAAGAGTTCCTTTAGAAATGTTTACCCTTTCCTATCAAGCTCTTCATACCCATTTCAAGAGGACTCAGTTGCCATTTAAAATAGGGTTGGTTGAAAATTTTCAAGAGTTTTTCATAGAAAACTGGGGTTTTGATGAAGCAATTTTTTGTAAAAAAAAGTTTTCCACCCAATCTTTCCATTTTCTGCCAAAATGGAATGGCTGGAATCAGAAATACTTATTTGGAAATAGTGCTGCGATACCTTATGGATAGGGCCCTATTAAATTCTCAGTCCATTTTGGTTAATTTCACAGTCACAGGATTTAAATTATACATTTCATTATTTCAGATATTTAAATCTGAAATTTCACGATGTTGTAACTGTAGGGGTCCTGACCCAAAATGGGGTTGTGGAGTGTGTCACCATGCTTCTGTGGGTCACAACTTAGGACAAGGTGCTGGGAAAAAGGGCAGACACACCCCACTACTGGTGCTTATTCTTCCATGAGATGTACCAAACCAGCAACAAAAGTAAACTTCTGTCTCACCACACTGCCTAACAAAAAGTCAGAAATATAGCCTCCTTAGGTATTCCAGTCCTGGATTCAACACCCAGACACAAGACATCATGATGAGTGGTTATTTAAAACCAATTTCATCAAACAAAAGGTTCTTTTGATCCCAAAGGACCAGCCATGCACCCAGGTCAATATATAACTCAGATCTTACCCAATAATCACGCCGTTGCCAATCCTATAGTATCTAAAATTTAAAGGTTTATTTGTAAAAAGAAAGGTGCGAGTTAAAATTGGTTAAAGGAATCAAATACACAATAATTACGAAGTTCTTGGTTCAGGCTTGTAGCAGTGATAGAATAAACTGCTGGCTTGTTAAGTCTCTGGTTGCTTCCAAATCATTGGAAGGCCCTCATTCCCTTGGTTAGAATGCTCCCATTCGTACAAGTTCATAGTCCAGAGGTTTGGGCAGAAAAGAGGCAAAATGGAGCTGGGCCTTTTATAGCTTCTGTCAAGTGAAGGGAATCCCATTGTTCTCACTGTGGAAAATTACAGGTAACAAGATGGTGTTTGGAGTCACATGTCCAAGTCACATGTCCATGCATGATTTCGCTTAGTCATAGCAGATGCCATCACAGGAAAGTCCACTAAGTGTAGATAGGCGTCTTCCATGGTCCAGTGTGAGTTAAGTGTTCCTTGATGAGCCATTTAACTTGAATAGTCCGTCCAAGATGTGCAGGCTAAATACCATGTGGGGGTTACCACAGGAGCAATCATTTGAAATACAGGTACATAGTTAATATTCATAACTTCAGATACAAAAATGATACATGCATACAGATAGATAATGATATTCAGCAAATCATAACCTTTCCATCGACACCTTACTTGATAACCTCTGTACAAGATTTGTTGCAATTATATAACAGTGGTAGCAACAGTGATCTACGTGGTCATATTTTATCAAATAACATCATGGGCTGGGGTTGCAAGGTTATTGTAGGGAGATTGCAGTATTGCCACCCTTACTTCTGTGCTGTTGCTGGCAGCGGCACTGCTTTCAGAGCTGGGCTCCCAGTCG